ACGATACTGTTTATAGGTGACAGTAGAATGTGCTGAACTAATACTTTAAAAATTTAATGTTAAAACGAGTTTTCGTACATATCTTCATTCTTTCGAACAAAAAATTTCATAATTTAACGGTTGCACCAAACAGATTTGGGATCCAGTGAAAAAAAGCTTTTTAAATGAAGCTTATAAAAGATTTTAATGTAATTTCTGATATTTGGGGGGGGGGTAAACTCGCAGGACTTTTCGATCATTTGACGTAAACAATTGCTGGAAGTAAAATAGTGATTATTCATCTTTGGAAAATTATTTTTCATTTTAATATTTTGATTAATAAAATAACAAGACTAAATTGATGAAAATACGTAAATAAATAAATAAATAAATAAAACTTTTGATAAAATAAGTTATTTAAAACGCACAAAATTATTTATGAGTTAAAAGCAGAAAAGTAATTTATCTATAATTTAATGCGAGCAAAAGATTTAATAATTTCTTTACAAAATTTATCAATCATTTTATATCACGAATAACAATAGCAAAACACAATCGAATTGCATGGTAAAAATATAATCCGTTAACCTTATTCATCTATCAAGGATACCTTATGATATACTTATGTATAATTGTACATGAAATTTGCAAAGAGAATTATTTAATGACTTGTTCCTGTTAAACTGTACCAGTGGTCTTCAAACTTTGTCGCGTCATGAAACCCTTAGAATTGTACAGCTTTTTTCGAGAAACCCTATCCCACTCTTAAAAAAATATATTCACAAGACAGTTTCAAAAACGCGTTACTGTCGTCGATTAGCTACGAGAAGCACGCTGAAACAATCAGCAGCACAGCCTTCAGGTTATCAGGTTATGATGGTAAAGACAGCTTCACGCCGAAGCACTAAAGTACAGCTCCTGACTCGGTCGATCACTCTCGAGCTAACCTCTGAACTCAAGACACTACTACTGAACTCAACTAGATATTTTAGGTCCTCCGCGTACAGGTAAAGGTTATATATAGCTTTTGACCTGTCTTTGAGAACATTCTCGGAAAAACCGGTAAGAATTCGTTCTAGAATATTCTCACTCCGTCTATGGCATATCGAGAGTTTTTTCTCCAAATGGTCTATTTTGCGCCAAATATGGCAGCCCAGCCTTTCCTTGCCATTTTCTGGCAACCCTAAATCCGCTTTGCGGGTCTTAGCTATCTTATCATAGCTGTGCATTTCGCAAAAATATTTTAAAATAACGTTTAAAACAGATGGATGTGTTACAGGTATTTTATGTAAAGACAATTAAAGGAAAGTATTATACTTTTTAATAAAAAATTTTAGCATGAAATTAATGTATTTTTATACTTTAATGGCGTGAAGTCGTGCTACAGGTCTCATCTGCCCTTGCATTATGTTTAGTGACAGGGTAGTCCTTGCAATTTGTTTTTAACAGAAACTTACGAAATATGGCTCTATTAATGTTATCTGCAGTCTCATTTCATATTTTATATTTAATTCGTTTCTATATTTTGTTTTTGTTGCCACATACGTTGAGAATTTTTTTTTTTTTATTTAAATACGCTTTCCAAAGGGCATTAAAATGTTTATAGCTGTGTAAGAATCTTTTAGGTGTTCTGCATGAATCTTCAAGTAGAAATTTAGGAGCTGCTCTTGCTTAAATTTCGAATCTGTTTCGATAGATCGATGAGTTGTTCCTTTTCCTTCAATGGCAAGCGTAATTTTTTTTTCTAATGTAGTTAACGAAAACTTGTGAAAATATTTCATTTAAATTAAACTGTTCTGGGAAAAGTAATACATTTAATTCCGTTCATAATGAAATGTTGTTTAAAAGTGCAGTACTTTCACATATTTACGACCCTGAAACATTGCAGAAAAAGAAAAAATATATATTTATACGCATATTTACAACGTAATTACAAAATGTTTAGATTTGATCATGTCAAAACCCATTGTTCTTAAGGTTCACATCTGGCGAGGGTCCCTGCTAGACGGGACTTTTCTGAGAAACGAAATTCTGGTATAACTGGTTTAAACGGGGGAACTCCTAGAAAAAATAGTTCTGTTTGGAAGCGAAGTCCCGCTTAGCTACGGAAACGATGAACCGGCTACGCGGGATTTTTTTAAACCTCGCCGAAGATGTTCTGTCTGCTGCTCCTTCTCGGGTAAAGATCAATCAATCAGACGAAAGTTCTGTTTCTGAAGTATCACGTGATCCCAATTTGAGCGATAATCGATTAATGTTTGGCATTCTTATCTGTTTAGTAGGTAAAAATGGTAACCTAGCTATGTAAGTTTCATGGAAATGTGCAGGTTCTGAGAATTGTCTCTTTCGACGTCTGGTCCCGCCTAGCGGAAACATATGTAATTGGGACTTTTTACTGGTAAGTCACTGAATCTTTTGATCTCCACGAAGGGATCGCCAATGCTTCAAAGCAGTGAATAGGGAAAACCAGTTAGAGCCTCTCCTGTTACTTCCTACCTCCATAGTACGCATGAAGAAGGTGACATGAGAGTTCGATCACCTCCGAAAAACGGAAATTTACTGTCAAAGGAGAGAAAGCACCCGCGTCATGGGGCCTATATTTCACATTCGCAAAAGTAAAAGCGAAGATCCGTATTAATATGCAACAATGGAAAGCAAAAATGGCAATTATTTTTTCACAACATATGAATTTTCCGTGAAGAGGGCAAATTTTATTGCTTACTTTAAAAAATAAGATCCTTAAAGATAATAGACTATATTTTTTAACAGAAATATTTTTTTTCTGTAGATTTTTTTCTTTCCTCTCTCTCTCTCTCTTTTTTTTTTTTTCTAAGAAAAAAAGAAATTAACAGGTATCGACCCCATTTGGGCAGGGTCTTCCCTGACTTAACGTGACGTTTACCAATCTTGTGATCTTTTACATAAGAATTATTTTCATTGTCCTGTTTTAAAATAAATTTTTCTCCTCCACTTCAAATACATATAATAAAGCATATAGATTTTAGCGCAAAAAATCAAAACGAAATATAATAATTATTTATTATATTGTAATTATTATAATTAATCGTATATAACTAATTGTTAAATATTTTTTCCTTCAGTGTATACCATAGTGCATATATTTTATTTTAATGATAAAAAGATATATAATAATTATTAATTATTATAATAATTATCTATTATCGTAACATTTTTGTAATCACTTATAATAATTATTGTATAAGAATTCATTGCAATGAAAATCGTACAATAAAATATTATAATTAAATCATTATAATAACAATTATTATACAATAATAATTATTTATTATAGTTTATCATAAAATTATGTATATACGGCACCAAAATTGACCTTTGAAAGCACTCATATTCTTACTAATATATGTATATATTATAATACTCATATTTTTACTAATATGATATTATAAGTATATAAATGCACAAAATTAAACACAATGTAATCAAACAGTTAATTACAAATGATGATAAATATATTATCTTAGCTTCCTTAAAAGTAATTTTTGCTTCCTTAAACTTGTGCTGTTTGAGAACACAATGAAAAATTAACGAATGCAATTCCCACTACATTATTAACGTTTCATCTACCCTATTTCATCAATAAATCGGTCCATAGCGCTCCAGCCTTAGCCTTAGTTAATCCATTTTTATTTTTTACATATATCATAAACGCTCTTATTTTTTGTTGCAAAGCGATAGCAGACAGATTGCGAAACAGCATTCACTAGTGTTTAAAATATGTTTTTGAAATTCGGACAATTCTTTGATTCGGATATGGATTAGGGTTACTGTAGTATCAAGGTTGCCAACAGAGATACCATTTTACCCCTAAACAGATTTTTATGTTCGGTTCAAAGATAATTATGAAATTTCGATTCAAATCAAAACAAAATTAAGTGAGACTATAGAACTGTGAAAACGAAACAATTATTTACTTATCTATACATATTATTATAGTTTCGATTGGATAAATACATACAGTTTAACTTCTACCGAATTGATTCGAAGTATTTAGTTACAACTTTAAGCCAACTTGGAGGAGGACTAAAAAAATTGGCAAAATGCCAACCCGCGAATGGAAGGGATCGTGCTAAGAAAAATGCCAACACTTGGCGAAAGTGCATTAATGGTTAGAGAACTGTAAAATTTGTGTGTGTAATGGCGGAAGGGAAAAGCGATACGTTTACCTTTACTTGGGTAATTCAAAACTTTAGTATGTGCTATCACGCAGCTGGCGATTATCTTCAAAGTCGGCATTTCGTCTTGAATTCCTTGCCAGACATTCAATGGTGTATAAGGGTATATCCACGAGTAAAGCAAAATAAAGATGTCACATCCGTTTCTCTCTGTAAGTTGGATAACGTTTCAAAGGCCTTCAAAATGGAAATCCAAGCCTTGGATATGAACGAACAGTTTATTTTTGGTGACAATGAATCAACCATAGATGAATTAGAAGCGGAAGAAGAATTTTGGCTTTGGGAAGCATTTGAAAGAAAGTACCTTTTTCAGTTGTTGATAAACGACATCTTAGTCATAAAATGCATTTTGAAACCAGTATTCGAGACGTCTGAACGAAAGATTCTACCTCAGATTTCTTACAAAGATGGTTTCTTCACTGATCTCCTTTTACGTGCTGCTGATGATGTTTTCAGAGTCCATAAAGCTATGCTATCAGCAAGGTGGCCGAAAATGCTAGAAAAACTGAATGCTGAAACTTCTGAAACAGTCCTGGATGTTCGTTCTAACGTACTGCAAGCCATACTCAAATATGTTTATACTGGCAAACTAGATTGCTCTGAATCTAAATTTTTATCAGAATTATTTATGCTGCTGCAAACAAGTATGAGCTTCCCAACCTACAGTTTTTGCCCGACGTATCACGGAAAGCGAAAACACGCATTAATATAAAGAAAATATCATTTCTATGGCCAATACAGAATTTCTTCAGTCTCCCCATCAATACGACATTGTACAGTCATATTTTCCGTTGAAAATATAAAGTCTTGTAAATGGAGCTTAGTATTGCATATGCATGAAGATGCCGTGTATGGTAGAAAATTTGACACATATGTTTGCAGAGTAATTGAAAATAGGTCCAAGCTGACTTTCGTTAAAAGCAATATATCCTTCGACAATACTTATTGCGAAAATGAATACTTATTTCAGAGAGATAAAACATGGAAATGTGCAGAACTTTCTCGACCGATATCAAAAATTCTGCAAGATGTATTGCTACTCAAATGCGAATTGAAATTTTCTAATTGTAGTTCATCCTTTGAGATTATAGAGTTTTCATGTGTGCTTTCGTCTTCCATTAATTGCCGCTATTTCAGCAATAACATGCGAGATCTTTACAACAGTGGAAATTTGACAGATATTAGTATTGAAGTAGGTTCGAAAACTTTTCGGGCGCACAAATTTATACTTTCTGAAAGATCATCCGTATTTTCTCGAATGTTTCAAACCAAAATGAGGGAGTCAAAAAAGAACATTGTTCGTATTGGAGATGTCGAAGATGATATAATGGATGAATTGCTTTTATACATGTATTCTGGTTACTTAGAAAAACCATTGGCAGAAACAGTTGATCAGTTGTATACAGCTGCAGATAAATACGACGTTCCTGTTCTCAAGAAAAAATGTTCGTGCTTTCTTAAGCGGAATTTTGCTGTCGAAAATGTGTGCGGTGTTCTTCAATTAGCTGATCTGCATTCTGATGAGGATTTAAACGAATGTGCATCAGCATTTTTTCTTGAAAATTCCCAAATTGTTTTTTCAAGCGGTGAATGGAAAAACTCATAAAAGGTAACTTAGGTGCAAAACTTTTGGAAGGTATTATAAGTCGAGTAAAAGGAAGTGAAAAGTTATGTGTATGATTTTGCATTAGTGTCTTAGCTATAAAATTTCTTAAATTATCGCTTCTTCTTAGTAAATAATGAAAATTATAAGTATGGATCGAATTTCGTTTGTTTAATTACTTTCAGTTTCAGTAGTAACTGTGTTTTTGGAAAGAATTGCCTATAATCTTATGATATTTTCCATTTCATTTTATATTTCGTGATGTAATTTAATAATACCTGTGTGTAATGTAATATACAGTTTAAAGCTTTATTTCATTTTAACGTGAAGTATATTTTATACTCAGTGATTTTATTAAAAAGAAAATAAAAATAATTCAAATTCATTTATTAAACATGAGATTTGCTTTCCACTGAAGGATTTTATTATAAATGTGTATTTAAAAAGTAGAGAAATGTATTATTATTTACCACTTACAGCAGAAGTTCTCAAATAACAAAGAGGGGAATGAGGGCAGCCTTTTATTTAGCTGTTAAAATTATTTAGATTTTACTTTACCTTTATACAAACTTTAGTATTTATTAACATTTTCTATAGTTTTTGTTGTTTGATAAAATACGTTAGAAAATCTAAATCTAAATAAATGTGTTTCCCAAGTTTTGCGAAGGGAAGGATGATCATCCAGAAAAATGGAAAGGGGGTCATGGAAAAAAAAAAGTTGACTACCAATGATCGGTTTTTACATGAGGATATATTTCTTTAGGTTCATTGTAAGTCATTTGCGATTGTGTGTCGTGACTCCTCATTATTTAATTTTCTAGAATTTTTACGCTGTTTCTAAGTGATTTTTATTAAATGTTGGTGTCGCTTGTGTTGGGAATGAATAATGTGTAACTGTGTATTTACGGGATCAACAATATTAAAAATGTTTATAATATCTATCCCGCATTTTTAAAAGAGTAGCAAAAAAGTGTTAAACGTTTTATCACAACATTAAGAAATTGTAATAAGCAGTAAATGAGATGTAAATAGTAGGAAAGATAAAACTTTATAGGAATATAAAGATAAAACAAAAATGCAGAGAAAAAAGGAAGATAAAATTCAAATTATCTGAACCATGAGCAATATTGATAGTGAAAAAAAAAATAATTTTAACTGTGTGATTTATAATAAATAGCAGATACCCATATTTGTGCTTTACTTTGATTGTCATTTATGTTTTAATCAAAATCTGTATTAATCAATTCTACCCTAACGGTTTTCGCAGCCTAGCGTAATTTCAATTAAAAAAAAAATATGGGAGGTTGCCAGAGTTGGCGAGATTTCGCGTCAAGCATGAAACAAAACTATAAGGAAACGCGAATTGAGTTGGTTAACCAGGATTTAAAAGGAATTTAATCCTGTTGATTACCAGGACCAGTTGATAATAGGTATGTTGATAATAGACATTGCGAAGTGGTGTAAAATCCTAGTATACGGTACGACGTTGGCGCGATTTTAAAACTTGTCGCCGACACCAAAATGACTCATTTACTGCTTATAAAAATGCTGGCAAAAGTTTCTAAATCCTGTGTGTTCCATATACTAGGATTAAACCCAAAAATGTTTTAGTTTTTATCCACAACAATCCACGCAGTTCAGATTATATAAATATTGTTAACTCATTCATTAAAAGTAAAAAGCTGAGTAGTAAATAAATGATAACGATTAATATCTTTTACTATTGTTATAGCCATTTATTACTTCATTAGTAAAATAAATCATCTATTATAACCATTAATCTTAGTCTGTTTTAGCATTGTTATATCCATGTATTACGTAGTATCTTCATTTTTATTTATTCTTCCGTTATGTACAGTATGTTATTTTTCTTTCGAATACTGATTTAGTTCAAGTAATCAAATGAACGTACTTTACAAATTAAACTGGTATTTGAAAATGTAGTACTCAAATAAGAAAGGGTATTAGTTATGAACGAAACCGAAAAAACAGATTAAAAAATACATTATTACTACTGATTACCAATAGATGGCAGCTTCAGTAGGTGGCTGACCCTGTAGACCGGCGTTGATCACGTTTGACCACGCTTATTTCATAAATAGAATTCAGCTAATATAAAAATATTAAGAAACATATTTCATAGCATTTTAACTAAAACGGCTAAGGTTTGTTCATGAACTGCTCGTAATATTTTTGATTCAAAAGCTTTTTATGAACTGTTCAAAACAGGTTTGGAGATTATTTGACCGATACCCTGATTTTAACACGCGACGTCTGCTGTAACTTATTCGAACTTTTAGTATAGTTTCAGTGTTTTTTTTTTTTTTTTTTTTTCGTTGTTGTTTGTTTTTAAGTCCACTAAAAATGCCCAGAATAATGAAAAATTTTGGGAAAATATTCATGAATGAAATTTCAATGAAACAGAACTAATTCTTTTAAAGGGGGTCATTGATGATCGAGGGGTCGATTGAGTTTAGACTCGATAGCCGAATATGCACCGACAAATGACTAACAGATATCAAGGTCTCACTGATTCTCCCCCCCCCAAGAAAAAGAAGGATCAATAAAATTGATAATTAAGTGCTGAATGGTATAAAACTATATCATGTAGTAAAGAAGAAATCATATAAAATAAATTTATATGGGAAAACAACAAAAAGGAAAAATACGAAGAACGCAAAAGTAGAACGGAATCTAAAAGAGGTGATTTAAGAATTGAATTAAACAATGTTATGTTAAATATTAAAAGAACTGCATCAATACAACAAGCGTAATCATCACATTCATTAAAACCAAACATTTCAATGTGTCATTTTCTTTCTCAAAATCTGTTTAAATTTGTAAAATTAATAATAATAATGATGCAAAAACTAAAAAAACATAAATATATTGCTGCATGTGTACGGGTTTGTAATAGACTGAATACAATCCCCTCAATTGTGCTCGATTTTCTAAGAGTCAGCAGTCTTTTGGATCTTGTCTGACTTTGTCAGAAACCGGATGAAAAGCAACACCAACATAGACTTAATGCACAAGTCCGTTAATAGGTTAATAAAAATTTATTTTTTATCAAAAGAAATTTCAGAACTCTGGAATTTTCCACAGAAATATTTGTACAAGTGTTCAGAGTATCATACAGTATAATCAGTAGTTACACTTCAAACTACTAAGAACGTTAAACACAACGCAACGCAAGGCGCAACTAAAGAGAAAGCTAACTCGGATTTTTCTCAGTTCACGCAGAACTACAGCTCGCAACAACAATAACTAAGCAGCTGAACTGTGATGTTCTCTGTCTGCGCTTTTATAGTTTTCACCCGGCTTCCGAGATATTTCTCGTACTTTCTGTACTGGACAGCAATAAGAGCATGGGATTACTGTTACAACTAACATATATTCAATTTTCAATATATATAACGATGATCCAAGGACCGGAACAGAATGTTGCCACAACCTTTTGTCAGCTTGGCGATATCTCGCCAAATTACCGAGATATACATTTACTCAATGTTAATTGCACATGCTCCTGTATTCTTACTTTTTCGGCATAGCCTTTAGTTATAAATTTGTTTCGCGTTACGTTACACAGAAAAATACAACAATCTCAGATATAATTGCACTAAAATCATTTATTTAGATAAAAAATTCGTAACAATATTAATTTTATAATAAATAGTAATTTTTTGACAAAACTTACGTTCGTATTCTTAATTAACTGTTATCTAAGTTATTTATGTTCGGTTATTTGTATTATGATTATGTTGTTCATTGTATATTTTAGAGAAAAATGTAAGGGATTCGAAGGATTCGATTAAGAAAACATTCTTTGTAAAGGGCAAGCGAATCCCTCTTCTAAAGTGAAACCTCAAGACTTCTTTTTGAATCGACGACAGAGTTATCTAGTAAGGTGCTGCCATCTTTTGGCGGATGCAAAAACAATGTTCTGTATTTAATTGGAGTTCATTGTTAGCAGCATTAGAGCAGAACTGTCACGGCATATATTCAAGTCCTCTATTTAGAGAAGTATAACAAGATTAGCTGTTAAAAACAGGTTCGTAAGATTAAAATTATTTTCAGCTTAATTTTTAAAAGAAAACTTTATTATGATGACGTTATAAAACTGTCATCAATGCAGTCGCTGGCAATGTTCTAAAAATAATAATTAAGTACTTTTCTTATTTAAAAAGAAACACTCTGCTTCCCCTCCCAAAAAATGATTGTATTTAAAAACATGTGACATTTTGATTTAAAATCACTACATGCTTATAAAAATTATGCAAAATGAACATGAACCCACTGTTTCTATAATACTGCATTTCTCTTATTGGAATGATTTTGTGATTTAAACTTCTTCATATTGCATTTGAAGTGTATAATTTTTTTTTTACTTCTTGGTAATGCATATATATGTGTGTCAAACTTTTACAGGCATAAAATGCCTCCTATGTAAAATTACTATTTTTATTGATTTTTAAAATATGTTTTGGAATCTCGGTATATACGGTTTTTTGAACTTTTACATATCTGATGCTAGATAAACCCTAATTTTTTTTATTTTGGAAGAAAGAGACATGACTGAAATATTTTTATTTGAAGAGATTCGAAGTTAGTAACTAAATCGTTTTTCCTTGGAATAAATAGGTCTTGTAGTCGCTTATTTGCATTTATCGGACAACAATGTGAGCTGTAAATTCCAGATAAATACATTGAGTCAAATCTTACGTAATTCCTTTTCCCTTTAATGAATGTAAATTATTTTTTCTTGTGCTAGCTGAAAAGGCTCATCTTTTCAAATGATGTTTTCTTCTCGGGGCTAGTAAAATAATGTAGAATTAGAATTAGGAAGCTCCCTGCCGAAAACTAAATATCACATTTTAGCAAACATTTCTTCAGAACGAATCTTAAATTTAGATTACAGTTAATGAAATTAATCACAATTCCCTGCTATAGTCCGAAGATGTAATGCAGTAAATATAGAGTAAGTCCCTTTTTGTTGATTTCAGTGAAAATAAGTTGTTATTGTTTCAAATGGCCTCATTGGGAATGGTAAATAGCCGACCGACATTTAGCCGTCTCATCACCGAGCAAACCTTTCGACAGCACTTTCGGTTTCTCAATACTCTTAAGTGCCCCTGTACTGCACAGGCACTATACTCTTACATGTGTCCAATCCTCATTCGGGATTTTAACTCAGATCCATAAGCGATACGGCAACCAGCAGCACTAACCACTGTACGGATTAGGGCAGTGCGAAAGTATGCTTTTTTTGTTTTCTATAAGCTGTCTACCTCGGTGGAATCTTGAACTTAACTACTGCTCTAAA